TTACAATATGAATAGTTGCACCTGAATCAATCCACCAAGTAGATTTTGTATAACTTAAATACAAGGACTCATCTATGAATGTAATGAAGTCTCACCTCTCTTCAAAAGGCTCTTCAGGAAATCTAGATAGTCCCTCTGGTAATGTCCATGCTTCTTGCACCATTTACATTGATCCTTTTCAACTTGGGCATTGTTGTTCTTCTGATGGTGGTTATTCTGAGGGCTTTCCCTTAAGGTTTGACATTCTAGTTAAAGTTCTTCTTGTTGTCCTTCACAAGGTTAGCAGAGTCACCCCATGAGCTTTTTAGCCTCTCCTATTCTTGCACACACATTGCAATTAGCTTCTCAATATCCTATTTATTGGGTTGCATGTTGTAATTTACAACAAAAGTTTCATATTCTTTAGGAAAGGAAGCAAAAACAAAATGAACCAAGAACTCATCCTTGAGCCCTAAATCCATTGGCTTCAGCTTGGAAGCCGTGTTGCTCATCTTCAGTATGTGCTCTCTTATCCCTCCATCAGAGTATTTCTCATTCAATAATTTCTTTATCAGGGTATTGGCATAAGTCTTTGAAGAGCCAGTAAACTGACTCCCCACTTTCTTGAGATACTCTGTGGCAGTGTCACAATCTGGGATAGACCCCCTTATTGCATCTGAAATAGTGGACTTATCCATCATCAAGCACTTGCGGTTCAGAATGTCTCATTTCTTACATTGGAGATCACATTTCATTCTTACTTCTACATGATCTCGCTGTCGATCAGTGAAATCAGCATCAGTTTCATTTTCTTCCCTCACTGGGTCCACTGGCTCAGTAGGACACGGAGAGGTAAGCGCTAGGTCATTCTCGGACAGTGCAAGTGCTAATTCATACTTCTCTCGCTATACACGATAGGTGCCCCCTTAAAGAGGCGGTATGTGCGAGATAAATGTCATAGGGTTGAGTCCTGAAAAACACCGTCAGAGATAGTGAGAAAATATGACTTAATAATTGCATCCCTTAATTTAACGTTGGTCAAAATTAAAACATACAACATATAACATTCTTCTATACTAATTCTACATCACCGTTGGATAGAAATAGAATTAATGCATGAAAAACTCATGAAAATAGATTATAATATTGCTATTATCAACGTTGACTAGAAAAATAACAATATTATAATTTACGGAATAAAAATAACTGCTCTTCAAACTAAATCCTTCCGTTGGTTCGAATTTAATTAGAAGATAATAAACGTTAAACTTTGCGGCGAAAACATGAAAAAATAATTTATCTACTTTTCAGAAGCATTTTAGTGTACTCATCTACTCTCTGAAAAAATTATTCCGTTGTTCAAATTTTGAAAGAGATTTAAACTAGACAAAAATTATCAAAAATTGCTTCTGAAAAAGAATAAACAAATTCATAATCGTTAGTGTGCATTTGGGCCGAAAATTCACTCAAGGCTTCAAGCGCTTATCGCGCCCAAAGAAAAAAATCCGCCCGGTCCGTCCGCCACAAGACCACGCCATTCCCAGCGCCAAAGCCGCAACTGGCTGGGCCGGAATTGCTTCGCCCACTTTGAAGTGGCTGAAAGCTGGCCCAAGCGCCCCCAAGCCGTCCATCGCGATCTGACGGCCGAGCGTCGTTCTCAACGGAACAAAACCGCGCCGCGGCCGCTCCCCTGAAACCCTAGGTTCATTCTCTCCCTCCCTTTCTCTCTCATCACTGCAACCGAGTGAAACGGAGCGGCGTAGCAGCAGCCTTCGTGGCTACCGGAGGAGGAGGTGACGGCGCCGCCGCAGGGCCCCTCACCGGTGCGCGCGCTCATCCAAGGGTGAGCGCGCCGTCGTCGAGCGGCCTTGTGGCGACGCCCTTGATTCCCAAGTCCGAGGGTGAGGTTCCACTGTGGCGTGGCTTCCCCGGACGGCGGCTTGGGAGCTTCTTCCCGCGCGACGTCGGCGGTGGTGACGGTGGCAGGTGAGCCCCAGGTAGGCCCCTGTCCCCTCCATCCTTCTTTCTTTCTGTTTCTTTAGGGTTAGGGTTTCGAGATTTTATCCATTCGATTCATCTCCTTCTTTCTACTTGATTTCTACCCCAAAATCTAGATCTACACGCTAGGGTAGGCTCTGATACCAATGATAGAACTTACGATCGACTAACAGTAGATCTAGCGGGTATAAACTTGTATTTAGGATATAGTAAACCCTAGAACATGAACTACTGCTAGTAAAGAAAGAGAGAGAGATGCGGTGTTTGCAAACCATCGGTCGCCTTGGAGGTAGACGAGCTGGCCATGGCGTTGGTGTCGATGACGCGGTGAAGGCGTAGAGTAGTAGTGGAGTCCGGCGACGGTGTGGACGTCGCAGTGGAGGCGCGGTCGCAGAGGCGGCGGTGAAGACGCGATGGTGGCGGCTTCCCGTCGCTAGCAGCGCCCCCTCTCTAGATCGGCTTAGGGTTAGGATGTAGGTGGGGTTTGTGGCGGCTCAGGTGAACCTTGTACCTTGTGCCCCGGCCCCCACCTTCTTTTTATGGAGCTGTGCGACGGGGACCACCAACCATAGATAGGGTTGGGTGCCCCGATCAGGACGCGGATCAAGGGCCCAATTAACCGTTGGACCAAGTTGGTAGAGATCAACTTAACAGAATTAGCCAGTCTGTTCCATTCTAAAAAAAACCATGGTCATCAACCACGATTTTCTGCTTTGCGGTCCTGTTTAGATACGATTAGATGTTCTTATCTGCACGGTCTGTTTGTGCCTTTACTGCCTATTCAGATGTTTCTTCATATGTCTATGAACTTGATTGCCTTTTAAATTAGTTGCTTCAACAAGGAACCACTATTTTGCCCTTTACCAATCCAGCAACATTAGTTCCTGCTCTAAATTTGCTTACTCCATGTAGTACCTCAGTTCAGTTGTTGGGTTATTGAAAATTGGGGACATGAAATGGTCATGCCGTTGGCTCTGAGGAATTCTAAAACTCATAGACTATTTTTTTCAAAATATTTGGCAGTATCTACGGGCTTGGTTCTATGAATGCTGCTATTTTTCACATTACATGTTCTTGTTGATCCCTTTATACTCATGAAAAGTAACTTACAGGATACACGTAACAATAGTTCAGATTATTTCTTTACCGAGGTGCTCTCTAGATTATTTTATACCTTTGTCCTCTCTTGTTGCACAAATGATTTACCTGCATATAGGCGATGTGCTTCCCACCCCTCAACTCAGTTAATTCTTTGCTTTATGTTATTTCCTGATTACATTTCAACGGCATTGGCATCAACCTGGTACGCGCGCTCCTATTTTTGTCCAATTGAATCTTCAGGTTACATGAGCCTACATATTAACTTAAATATAGATCAGTACAAAATTTCTCCCATTATTTTTCGTATCCTAATAAGATGTACCTTTAAGTTATATATTTATTATGCTTTATCACCAGAAAAATGTATTGGCTGCAATGACATGTTCCCAGCAGACTATGGTGATCATGAAAATGACGCACATCTATCTGACTCCACAGGTATAGCTAAAATAAATCTAAACAGTATATCATCTAAACAATTGATAGCCTCGGCACTCTACACCTCTTCTTTACTACTCTACAGGTTATGTATCTGGATGCAGCCACCACATCGAGTGCATGTGCCACTACCAAGACTCAGGTACACTGATCTTCCCTAAACACTCGCCACCTCTATCATACACTTTAAATACTAGAGGTAACTCACACATCTAGATGCATACACAGATTCATCCAGCAGCTCCTGACGTTTCAAACAACACAACAAGATACTGCCAGATGACAAGATCAGCATTACCATATCAACAACCTGAAGCTTTCCATGTATAATATACGTCCTCATGTGCACACCACTACCACTACCTATGCTGTTCCCTAATGTGCTACGGCCATAAATTGTACAGTTAAGACGTTGCCAGGTCTGTACAATATATAACTATCAAATGAACTCTACATCCACCTTTCGCATGTAACATATGCATCCTGTAAGTCCAAACTTATTATATTCCCGCAGATATGTATGCAAATGAACCCTACCTTTATAAACCTGAATTCATTCACTTAACGGCGCGCGCGAAGGCGCGCGGCCTTCACTAGTATAATAAAAAAGACAAGTTCAGATAGAGCGCCTTACAGCGGACAGCTGAAAAAACAATCAACTAGGAACTTCAACACAACACAATAAAGACCACCTCCAGCTCCAGAACGACTAAAGCTGCCAACTCCAGCAGTATAGCACTTGTCTACACTTTTTTTTTTGTTTTTGATATAGGTTGTCCACAGAATTCGTATTATGTTTACAGAGCACAAGAAAATATCTGTGTGAAACGACAAATAAAAAGGCCAGGAGTGTTCTAGTTGAACAGCACTACAATCCATTGTGCGGTTGACCCTCATCCGATAGCCAAGTGTTGGGGTCATGCGTCAATTCATAAGGTTCTTCTGCTCATCACATGGCAACACTTTCTGGAGAACCTCTAAAGTTTTTACAGTTGGAACGTTGCTGCTGCTGCTATATAATCTTCCATCTCGATGCCAACCAATGACAAATGTAGCAAATAAAATTACTAGATACGATATGCTGAATAAAGTTACTGTCAGACACAACTGATTACACACAAAATATGGCACTAGATACAGTTCTATGATTCTATCAAGCACAGATACTGACATATCCAGGTGATACAGTTATGAATAGAAAATGTATCAGGAATGGAAGCCTAATCTGTTTTGATATTTTATTCTTTGGGATGCATTACACTTTGCAATAACTTAAGCTTTTTTTTGGTATGAAGTACTATTACATGATTTTACTATGGACAGTAAGGAAGAAAGCTGAAGTCACCCTGTATGAATATAAGATTTACACCAAACCTAAACCACCACCTACCAGATTGCCATGAAAAAACATACTGACCATAGTCCAGCAAACATGGCATGTGAATTCCAATTGCCAACATGGTAAGTGGCAACCAGCTGCTGCATCAAAGTGACCACATCTGTAAAAAGAGGAGGCACATATGGGGAGCTCGTTGAGTGCCGGTGAAGTATATGACCCTGATAGCCTTCAAGGCATCAACACCGTGAATGGATAAATACTGGTTTTACAAGAAGACGTCATATCTCTGAATCCAATGAAGTTGTTTTTTCTACCACCTAAACAAATAAATTCACACATGCATATCAGCAATGGCTCCATGACGCGTGAGCATGTAAAAAAAACAAAAGAGAGTAAAACATAGAGATATATGCAGAGTAGAAGAAAGTTAATTCTTACATCTGCAAATCTTATTTGCCGTGGCCTGGAAGGTTTATGATCATTCTCCTTTGGTTGCATTGTGGCCCAGGGAGCTTGTTTCTTTGAGTGTACTTGAATTCCAAGAAAAGATGGCAGAGGTGGCTTATTCGTCACGGATGGCAAAATACGAGAAAGCCATGACTCTGAAGGTGATTTTGGGACAGGTAAAGGGAGCAGAGATTGCAATGGTATGGTTTCCTTTTTGGCAACATTATTGTCTTCCAAATGTTGTGGTAACTCATGACTAGCATCATGCTGCAAATCTTTTCCATCATCCAATGGAAATGTGGGTTCTCTACGTTCAGAGATCTTTTCGGTCAATGAATCATTGATTTGATCTTTCACAATCGAGTTCTTTCCAACTATCTTTTGCCTTCCAGGCTGAGAGTCATATATATTTGCATTCAAATCTGCCTTTGTATCCACAAGCACACCTAAGTGGCATGTGTCTGAATCAGTATCTCCATGGTGATCCATTGAATCTTCATGCACTGCTCCATCTGGTCCTGAACTCATGGAATTTGATCCCTTAAAGCTACTATGATCTGATCCAACCAACGAGGTTCGATCATGGTCTCTCCCAAACGAACCAGAACCATTGGTCTTGCTCCTACATGCCTTATCATCCTTATCTCCTATTCCAGACGACCCATTTGGTTTACTTGACGGTGACATCACAGCATAGCTGCGATATGGAGACATGCCACCAGCTATGGAATGGTAATATGGTGAAGATCCATCCCCAGTCGGTGAATTGCTCGAGAAAGTAAGCTGATTCGACTCACTTGTCAGCTTGCTCCTGCCATCCTCGCCTTGACCAAGATACTTCTGCTCCAACTTATGCTTATACACATCCTCCCAGGATTGCTGCCACACAATAAAATCCAGATGGTTAGAACAATCATTCCTAAGAACAAGCACAAGAAACACAAGTACAAAGCTGAATCCAACAAGCATGCAATGTGCGCTGGCATTACTACCCCGTTGGAATCACATCCCAGGTGCTTGTTCTGCGAGCTCCGGGCAAGCGGACTCTGCGCCATTTGGCCCCTGCCTTTGCATGGTAACTGCCAGCCTCTAACTTTCTTGCCGCGCTTCATTGAAGGCATTGGATTCAAGAGCAACAAGGAAGTTTTCACACATAGGCTAGGGAGCAAACCACACCCCTTGGCTGAAAACCCCCGGGTACTATGCACATCATAGTCCTCGTCATCCTCCTCATCCCCCTCTTCACGCTCTTCGTGTCTTCGATAGGCGCAGGACAAGTAATTGGGCGGCAGGTGCTGGTAAGGGAGCTGGACAGGCGCTCTCCTCATTCGATCCTGGCCATTGCCCGCGCCTGCCTTCACCGCAGCCGCGCGCGCATGCTCGCGGCCATCGTTGCCGGCGCCACCGGCGACGCCGGCCTTCCGAAAGGTGTACTGCGGGGAGCCCACGGCGACAGCCTGCGCGGCCGGCAGGAAGCGGTCCATCATGAAGCCCCGCGAGCCTGGCTCGGCGCCCTGTCCGGGGTCCGGAGCGCCGCTGAGGCCGCTGACGCTGCAGTTCATGGCAACGGACTCGGTGCGGGAGAGCGTGTCGAGCGCGTCGGAGAACCTCTCCTCTTCCTCTTCATCTTCCACTTCGCCGCGCTGCTTCCGCAGCACCGCAGCCACCGGGAGCGCCTCGTGCTTCTTCACTACCTCGGTCGATTCCGCCGCCACCGCAGCCTCGTCTTCCACCACCACCTTGCGCGATGCGGCGACAGTCCGGGAACCTTGGTGGTCGGCGACGCCACGAAGCGCCTGGAGATCGAGCTCCCCGAGGGCGTCGTGGTAGGGGCTGCTGCCGCCTATCTCCTCGCCCAGCCGCGGCGTCCAGGAAGTCTCCCGCGGGGGCGTCGGCGGCGCCGCGCGGCGGGTGCGGACGCTCTTGGGCTGGCCCGGGCGCTGCTCCCAGGCGAAGGGCACGGCGCCCGGGTGCCGCAGGGGCCCGGAGTTGAGGCCGGCCTTGTGCTGCGGCGGCGCGTCGGCCGGGCGCGCCGAACGGAGCGGCGCGCCCAGGTCGATCCGCTGGTTGCTGCCGCCGCCCCCGTCACCCATCGCGCGATCTGCCCGCATCGCCCGTAGGAGCGAGCTCGCTCGGGAGCCACGGAACGGAAAGGGGTTCGCGCCTCGCTTCGGCCGCCGGGAACGGGCCCGGGGAGCCGACGGTCGCGATCGTTGGAAGCGAGAGACGGAGAGAAGGATCTGTACCCCGCTGGCCGCGCGCCGCCTTGCCGTGTTGCGGCCGATGGACCCAAATAATAGACTGCCCCGGAAGCTGCGACTGCGAGGCCCAGCCAGCCGCCTCCGCGACTCCACTTCACTAGTGCGGAGTGACACGGTGCGGTGGGGCGGCGCCCGGTGCGGTGCGAGTGCCGCAGCCCGCTGGGTTAATGCTGCGCGTGCGGCGTGGGGATGGTGACTCGGGCGGGCGCGTGGGCACCGTGCGGTGCGAGCGCGGTGGATGCTCGCGCGCACGTGAAGACCAAGAGCCGACTCGGGGAGTACGGCGAAAAAGTGCGAGACTTTCTGGGGGCGATCCGCCTAAAAAGGTGGTGCGCGCGGTAGTATTCTATGGCCACCCGCCACATGTATCGATGCGGCGATGCACGGCCCGGCCTCTGGCGAGTGCCGCCGCGCCGGGAAGGGGCCCCGAGTTAGGCAGAGGCTGGCCGGCAGCCCTCTCCGTCAACCAAGGTCTGGTCTCGTTGAGCAGGGGATTCGGTCGCCTAGGATACGAACACTGATGCTTACGTTGATTTGTCGGGAGTAAAATACTGTTTGTCCGATAAAAAGTACTGTTGAAATAGATAAAGCGAACGGGCCACTGTAACTAATTTTCTATCCATCCAGGCTGCATTAGTAACAACTGCCCTCCCTTGGATTCCTAATGCACGATTCGTACTCGTCTCTATAAAGAACAACGGAGCAGCTGAGGTGCTCTTGCAGAGAACAAACAAGTGAGCTCCACCGTACGGCCTGGGGAATGCGACAGACATGCGCGTCCACTGCCAACTGTTGGATCCGCTCCTCTTTCCGTGTCAGTTGTCACCCATATCATGTAGTACGATTATGAGCCGCCATTGGTGATCGGCTTCTATCATGGTCTCGCGCCATTACTGCGAAAACTGCAGCAGCTAACGAACTATTGCCATGTTTAATTGGCTGATAAGTCATGGCTGAAAGTACGGTTGACTGATTTATTGGGAGAGAAAAATACTGTTCGTTGGCTAAAAAAATATGGCTTATAAGCCAAACGAACATGGCGTATAGTTGGTAGCTGCGTTAGAGCAGATGCAATGTCGGCGTCGACTGCTCGTCTCCATCATGGCAAGCAGATCATGTCGAATCAGGTCGTTTTCTCCGACAGCCAGCGCGAGGACGATGGGGGTGACCATAGAACAACTCGATCTGCGGTGAGTCGGCGACCATTATATTGACACAGGTACACAGCTAGGCCTTTTAAAAAAAAGAATTAAGAAAAATGATTCCCCCACTTTATTAACAACAAAGTGTATTGTACAGTGATTAAAAGTCTGCAGTATTCTAGGCACGCCCGCCCCAAATTACATAAGAGTATCAACATCCATGATAGACGACATCTTCTTAGATAGCCCAAAATCACTACTGAATGTAACTGCACTGATGGAGGCCGGCACCAATCCCGACTACGCAGAATCTGAGTGTTGTTTGTTAGGTTGATCTCCACCAATTTGGCCCAACGGTCAATTAAGCCTTTGACTCACGCCCTGATCGGGGGCGCCCAGCCGCTCTCGTGGCTGGTGGGTCCCGTCGCGCAGCGCTATGTAAAGGAGGTGGGGCTGGGGTTCAAGACACGAGGTTCATTGTAGCCGCAAGTTCTCCACCGAGTCTAACCCTAGTCCAATCTAGAGGGAGCGCTGTGAGAGACGGGAAGCTCCATCGACCTTCACCGCCGTCACTGGACCGCGCCACCACTGTGATGCTACCTCTACTCCGACACTAGATGCGCGTCATCATCAAGTTTCTCATCTAAGTTGAGTTTACCCGCTAGATCTATGTTTAGAGGTCCTATTAGTTCTATCAATGGTATCAGAGCCAGGTTAGGTTTATATCTAGGTCGAGGCAGAATCAATCAGAAGGAGATGAACTAGTAGAGTCTAACACTAACCCTAGAAGAAAGAAAAAGGATTAGAGGGGCGTTTTCCTACTTGGGAACCGCACGCACAGTCACCACCACCGGCCGTTGCCTCAACGCCGCACGGGAAGTCATCTCGAGCCACCGCGGGCATGAGGACTCGCCGCCGTGCGGTCTCCGCCTCGGGCTTAGGCCAAGGGTCACCGTCCGAGGGCCCCTCGACGACGGCGTGCTCGGCCTCCGGCGAGCGCGCGAGCCGACCGGGAGCCCCGCGGCAGCGCCGTCATCCCTCAGTTAACCGTATCACGAGAACCACCGACGCTCCACCGAGCAGCGCACACGCGCTTAGGGCGCCATCGCTAGATCGCTCGACGACGGCGCGCTCACCCTACGGTGAGCGCGCGCACCGGTGAGGGGACCGGCGGTGGCGCCGCCATCTTTCTTCGGCCGCCATGTTTTTGGTTTGGAAGGGGAGAGAGAGAGAGAGAGCCGATCAGCGTGGGGCTGAGAGAGGAACGGGAGTTTCAGAATGTGGTTAGGGTTTGGCGAGGAGCGGCGCGGCGCCGGTTTTTGTCCCAGCAAGAAAGGCGGATGACCGTCCGATCGTGATCGACGGCAGGGACGCGCACGGGCCAGATTTGGCCTAGGCGGGGCGGAGAATTCCTGGCCCAAGCCTAGGTTGCGGCCTGGGCGCGGGGGAGCGGGCACGCGCGCGGCAGGCCATGGGCCGATTTCCAGTATGGGCAGCGTCGCTGGGCCGAGCGCGCGCGCATTGGCTAGATAGGTCGTGGACCATTTTTTCCAGGCCGGACCGAATGAACAGTAAACGGTTTTATTATTTTTAGAAGCAAATTTTGATTAGTTTTCATCTCTATTCAATTTTGAACCAACGGGATAAATTGTTCAGAGAGTAGATGAGGACGGTGAAATGCTTCTGAAAAGTAGATAAATTATTTTTTTAAGTTTCCGCTGCAAAGTTTAATGTTGATTATCTTCCAATTAAATTCAAACCAATAGGAGAATTTGATTTAAAGAGCAGTTGTATTTAGTAAATTATGATTATATTTATCCTCTAATTAAATTAGAACCAACGGAAAAATTTAAATTAAAGGAGTAGTCCGATTTATTTATGTTAAATTATGGTATTATTATTTTCTGACCAACGTTGATGATAACAATATTATAATGAGTTTAAGGTTGAAGTTTAAATCTCTGATAAATTTTACATCAACATGGTCAATTTTTTAGAGAGTAGATAAAGACCAAGAAATGCTCCTGAACTAAAATATATTTTATTTTTGTGCTTCGCTGCAATGATGTTGATTATCTTCTAATTAAATTTGAACCAACGGGAGAATTTAATTTTAAAGAGTAGTTATATGTCTTTTAAGTTAATTTATGAGTTTTATGCATTAATTCTATTTTCTGCCCAACGGTGATGTAGAATTGATGCAGAAGCATCTTGTAAGTTTTATTTTTTAACCGACGAGATCACTCGGCTGCATGTCAACGGGCTGCAATGCTGGGGTATGTGAATGAAAAGACTTGAGTCAAGCCGGTTCAGGATATTTTTTTGTTAGTTTACTAATTTTCTGATTAAATTAGAATCAAAGGGAAGATTTAATTAGAAAATGAAGTATAAGTGAATGTTTTAGTCATGATGACTAAAATTTTTCGTTACGGTAATTTGTATATAGATTTATCCCTCATGGGGAGAAGTTTGGCATAGTACTTATGTTGGTCAATCCTGCATGACAAGAGAAGTTTTGTGATGAATCATATGTTTTTGTATCCCGCATAGCGAGAGAAGTTTGGATAGCTCTTGTGCTATCCTAGTATTGACCATGGCACAATTGAAATGCATCGTCATGGTCAATACTAATCAAAAGACAAGAAAAAGATGCAAGCGTGACTTACAAAAGTACAGTTAATAAAAGACCTCATTGAGTTCTTGAAATGGAATGATGATAGTGTACTTCTATACGAATTAAAAATAACTTTGTTTGCATGACACAATCATGTGAATGAAGTAAGTTAGAAGTGTCTCCATGTTCACAGTTTTTCTAAATAGTTCTTAAAATTATGGCAGTAAAGTTCATGCCATATTTTGAGGGGGAGAATTGTGAGATGAATTAAGAGTAAGGATTAAGATCAATTAAGAAACTACTCGTCATTAAGAGTGAGATAAAGATATTGATGAATGTTGTGAGATGAATTAAGAGTAAAAATTAAGATCAATTAAGAAACTTTTCATTAAGAGTGAGATAAAGATGTTGATGAATGTGTACTCTTCATTAAGAGTGAAATAAAGATGTTGATGAATGTGTACTCTTCATTAAGAGTGAGATAAAGTTTTCGATGAATGTGATCGTCGCTCATAACAATGATACCCCTAAGCAAAAAAATAGCTAAATTTCTGGATTTTTTAAAGTTCTGAGAGGAAGATAGCGTAGTCAGCCTCAAAGATATTAAGGCGATGTTTAAAGCGCCATATAAAGTTTTAACAGATTAAACCCAAATAAAAATTTGAAGATACACTATCTTTATAGAAGATAGGATAATCTTGGGGGAGCACGGTATCTAGAGACCTATAACTTAAAGAGAAACGGGACTGCGTGCCCACTTCAATGATTTAAAACAACGAATTTCTCAATACCTGTTGACGTTGTATGACTTATACAACACATGTCATTGGCTCTTCAAGAAGATGAATAATATAAACAAGGATCTTGTAATACAGGAGCCTGTAGAATCAATTGCCTCTTGACAATGAAGAGCAACAATAGCCCAATATGAAAGTGCCAGTAGATGAGGCTTTAGAAGTTCTCAAAGAATTAATAAACCAATTTTTCTAATGACTATGAAGTCTATGTTCATGAAGAAATTCAAATGGAGGATGATCCCACCTCATTTGAAGAAGCCATGAGAAACGTTTACTCAT